TACTAACTACTACTTTACTTATTACTACTACTACTACCACTACTACTACTACTACTACTACTACTACTACTACTACTACTACTACTACTACTACTACTACACTACTACTTACTACTACTACTACTACACTACTACTACTACTACTACTACTACTACTACTACTACTACTACTACTACTACTACTACTACTACTACTACCCCGATGCCCACATTCTGACCGCACCCATCCTCGATCAGCTCCCAGGTGTCCTCGCCGCACGCCTTCCGGGCGGCACGCCCAGAGGTGAAGAGGGGGCGGGCCCCCTCAGAAGGGCTCTGAAGGCCTCGAGGCCTTCCGAGAACAGACAGGCGCGTTCCGCCACTTGCAAAATCACCACTCGCAAGTGGCCTGGATCCGCCGCGGGGGATCTACCATGAATGGAAGCGCGGACACGTGTTCTTGTTCGGACGCTCGCGGGTAGGCACTTTGCGGGCAGCGGAACGCGCTCGGTGAGAGAAGTGCTCCGATTGGTGGCGCGCAGAGGCGGGTAGGGGGAGGGAGGAAGGCTTCTTCGAAGGAGGCTGCTTCCTAGAAGGCGCGGGCCTTACATCTACAAAGAAGGCCCGCCGCTTCTACGAAGCAGGGGTGCTTCTGAGAAGCCTTCCCCCCTCCCCCTACCCTCTGCGCGTGGCCGATCTGACCCTTCCCCGAAGACGCAGAACACTCCTCAGAAGGCCGGAGGGCTTCTGTCTGAGAAACCCCCGCCGCCCTCCGAGCAGGCCTGCTCCTCCCCACCGTCCCCCCCCCCGGGCGCGCCACCGAGCCTTGACCGACGCGTCGATGAGCTCGTTGAAGGTCACGCAGTTCGGCGCGAGCCCGTCCGCCCGCATGGCCCCGACGGCCGCGCGCGCGCGCCGCGTGTCGCCGCTGCTGAGGTACGCCTTTTTGGACGCCCGAAATGGGGACGGAAAACATTGGCACACTGCCGGGCAACAAATGCAACTCAAAACCGACAGCGGCCGCTTTTGGGCAGGCGGCTCAGTCTTCAGAGAGCAACGTCCGCGCGGCGCGGACAGCGAGTCCTGCCAAAAATGAGCCAGAACTGATGTTGGGCATCGTGCCCCACTCTTTCCGTAACCATTTCGATCGTCCCGAGCCTTGATCATCGTGTTGTGCGTGACGACGTCGGCCCCGCCGACGGCCTTCGCCTCCGCCATGACCTCCGAGCATATAGTAGAACAACAAGCACCCTCATGAGAAGCACCCCGCCGAACGAGGCTGTTGAGCAATCAAACGCGCCCGAGGCAAAAATCGTACGGGACAAGGCTGCATGGTAACTGCCCAGGGCCGTTCAGCAAACGCCAGTGATGTGGGTTGGGTTTTTTTTCTCCTCCCTCGAGTTTGTCCGATCCCCGTCCCCAGTAGCGTGGCCTTGGCCCCACTGGCCGACTGACCCCCGAGGTGGGGATCTTCGTCATTGGATGAACAAAAAGAACGGCTTGACCACGAGTTCTCTGAGGCCAGCTTGGGGTTCTTGATCGGCGCCGGACCCCATCCCTGGCGCGCGGAGCGGGCCCAACGCCGATCCAAGACATCCGCGCGGAGCTCCGAGTGCTCAGGTTTGTGCAGCTCGATGCTCTTCAAAAGATGTGTGCTGCCGCCCCTGGGCTTCGCGGGGCATATCCCCATGCTGGTGAGGGTGAGCTGCGTGGGGGCGAGACACCGTGGCCCAGTGGGGATGGCGATCGGCCAGACGATGCTAGAAGAAGAAGAAGAACAAAAACAAAGTGCACAAACATAAACTTTTGGCGTTCCGCGCGGGTTTCTCGGATCCGCGCTGGGCGAAACAGTGTATGTTTATGGCGATGTTCGTATTCGACAGTGGGGATGGGGATCGGTCAGACAATGCCGAACCTTCTCGGCGGCCCTCAGGTCCCCACACTTGACGCAGATAACCGAAGAAGACAAGACGTCACGGGCAAGAGCTCTCGGAGAGCTCCGCGCAGCTCGCTCCTGGATCGGCGCTGCCCCCCCCACTTGCCTCCCTGGAGGGGCACCGCCAGGGGGGTCCAGCGCCGATCCAAAAAACTATCGGCGTGCCCCTGGAGGGAATAACGAGGAGGTACCCATACCGCTACACTTAGGTCGGGCATGTCCTCCTAAAGGCGGACGTTGGAATAACATGGTTTCACGAGAAAACACAGAAAATCATCTCATAAAAAATCACAAGAGCAAGAACAATCATCACCAGACCATGCTTAGACTATGCCTAACTAGTTCCTCCTGTAGAGGAACGTGCGGTCTCGACGCCGGGAGGGCAGCGGCAGGGGCATCTCCCCCCCCGAGACCTCCGACAGCGCATGCCTCCCCGAGATCCGCCGCCTCGAAAACACTGCGACATCGCGAAGCATCACGACTGGAGCCCCAGACCCCATCTTTCCGCGCCATGTCTCGAGCCGCATGGATCTGCGAGGGCCCCGGGGCCTGAAGAAGGGCAAGAGAAACGTCCAGCTCGACACCATGGAGACGCCAGGACCTCGGGGTTTCTGCCGACGTGTCCTCTTCTGGATGTCGAGCAGCGTGTTCCGGAGGCACGTCGACCGCTCCGGGCTGGCCTCGAAGACCTCCGTGGCCTCCTCGCGAAGGGCGGCGAATCCCCCCGCCCGAGAAGGACCATTTGTGAGGCACGTGAAAGATCTTTCCGAGTCGGCCAATCGGCCAGTCGGCCAGCCAGCCAGCCGGCCAGTCGGCCAGTCAGAGTCGGCCACGGACGGGGGGGAGTCGGATAGTAAATCCCGGTGCCCCAAAAAGTGCCCAAATGTACCGAGAGGGACAGGACGGGGGGGGGAGTCGGATAGTGAACCCGGTGCCCCACGAATTCTCCAAGTGCCCCCCATGGGGGGGGGGCAGCAAGACAGAGGACAAGCCCCCCTCCCTGCGGAAGGCGGCGCGGAGCGCCTCTCGGAAGCCCCGGCCCGCGCCCTTCGAAGAATCCCCTCTGGGCCGTCTCTGGAGACCGGGAGGAGGAAGGGCAGGAAGAGGATGGGCAGGAGGAGGAGGAGGAAGAGCAGGAGGAGGAGGAGGAGGAAGAGAAGGAGCAGGAGGAGAACTCCTCCTCCTCCTCCTCCTCCTCCTCCTCCTCCTCCTCCTCCTCCTCCTCCTCCTCGTCCTCTTCCTCCTCCTCCTCCTCTTCCTCCTCCTGCTCCTCCCTACTGAAGGCGGCGGGGCGCCCTCAGAAGCCCTCGCGTCATACGAGGAAGCCTCTGGGCCTCCTCCGAAGACGCGGGCGGCTCCCCAGGAGGCCGGGAGGGCTTCTGAGAATGGACAAGCGCGGTCTACGACTTGCAAACCAACTGCCCGCAAATGGCCTGGATCCGACGCGGGGGATTTCTGATAGATTACACAGAGGAAGACCTGTTTTGTTCGGACGTTTGCGAGCAGGCACTTTGCGAGTAGCAGAACGCGATCGGCGAGAGGGGCCCCGACCCTGAACCACAAACGCTAGAACCGAAACCTTAAACCTGAACCCTCAACCCTAGACCCTAGACCATAGGTCGGGCATGTCCTCCTACAGGCGGATAGTGGAAAAAACTGAAGCATAGTCAAAACACGCTCAAACATAGCTTTAAATAATCAAACTAATCGTCCCAAAATTATATTGTTTTGTACTACTTTTGAATACTCCTCCCGTAGAGGGTCACGCCCGACCTAACCCTACCCCCCCTCTCCCTTTCCCGGGGTGCGCCTCGACGGGAGCCCCTGTGGGCCTCGGCGGCCCTGTCACCAACGGGATCTTGACTGGGCCTCGTCCATATTTCGACCACCCCTCTGCACTCTGTCGTCCGGAGCCTCGGCGGCCCTGTCACAAACGTGATCTCGACCAGGCCTCGTCCAAATCTCGACCACCCCCCTTCACCCCCTGTCGTCCAAACGTCGTCCAAATATCGTCCTGATTCTTTGTCCAGATGTCGACCACATCCGACAAAGCCCGGACGAGACCCCCCGAAACCGCAAAGGTCTTTTTCTTGTTCGACCCCGGCAAGTTTACTTGCATGGACGGGGGGGGGGGGGGCTGAACCTGAAGCAAGCCGCAAACGACTGGCACGTGCGGAGATCACGCGCAAGTCGAAAGGCACTTGCACGCCAGTATTCGTCTGAAGAGGGGCGAGGGGGGGGGGGGAACGCCGTTCAAGTAAGCTTGCCCGAATCTCAAAAAACAGGCTCCAAGGAACTCTTGGACCCTCCGACGGTCCCATGGAGGAACGCACGACTTCCCCCCTGGGCTCGCCGCCGATCCTTGAGACGCCGCTCCGACCCGAGGCTCCGCACAAAATGGCAACGCATGGCGTCCGTGTGCTCCAGGCCGCACGCGGCCGCCGACGCCATGACCTGCCGGGCCTCCGCGGGGGTGCCGCTCTGCACGCAGCCGGCCAGGAGGATCTCCACCGTGCGGACCTGTCGGGCACGCGCTGGCAAAGGCCAGGTCGGGGGCGCCCACGAGGAGGGCCGTTCAAGAGGCAGCTCTTCTTCGAGAGGCCTCCCGGATCGGGTCCGAGCGCATGGGGTTGGAGGATCCCGGCGCATCGCCGATGCATCGCCGATGCATCGGCGACGCACCAGCGATGCATCGTCGACGTCACCAGTGCAGCCACGAAGTCCGCGTGGAGAAGATCGGGCTCCACATCCAGCCGCATCGCCGGTGCATCGGCGCTCCTTCGGCCCCCATCTGCTCCGACCCCACATGGGAGGCCTACAGTAGGAGCTTGACGACAAGACACCTTCCACAAGAAACCTAACCCTGAGACCCCAAGACGTCTATTGATTGTTGGTGTGGGAGCGCCGCGCTTACCATAGCAAAACCATCGAAACCAAAGAAACCCAGGGCACCCTGGAGGCATGTCTTGGCATGGGATTCCACTGTAAGAGGGGGGGCCTCCAAGAGTACGTTTTCGCTCTAGATTGTTGCAATCCTTACGTGCAGGGAGGGGGGAGGCGGCGAGGCGAGCCCCCAGAAGGCAATCTGGTCTTCGTGCCGGTCGGGGCGCCCCTGCACGCCCTTGCGGCCCAGCGCTGTTTGAAACGGCGACGGAGGGGGAGGGGGAGGGGGAGGAGGACGAGGACGAGGAGGAGGAACCTGAGCGCGGACTTGCGCAGCGCCGGGATCCGAGTCGGGCCCGGGCTCGGGCGCCCTGCCGGGGCCCTGCCCGGGCTGGTTGCAGTGGCGGCGGAGGGGCGTGCAGGCAGGTTCGCCAAAGCTGGCCATAAAGACGCGCCGAGAGGGGAGGTCGCAAATCATGGCCCGAGGCATGCGCGCGGCGCACGAGGGCGGGGGGGGGGGGTCGGAGGACGCAGTTCACGAAGAAGAGGGGTCCATGGAATCTGGGAAGATGTCCCGACCCCAGCCATGAGCTCCCCCACCACAGTCGTCGCCCCCCTCCTGGCCGCAGGCTGGAAAACCGCCAGGAGCCTGCGAATAAGCCCAGAAACCTCGAATCTCGAACCCGAAAAGCTGCCCCCGGCAACGCCACCCACCACTGGGCCAGGCTCCCCCTGCCGTGGCCCCCCAGAAGGCCCTAGAGGGCGAACGACGAGGGAAGGGCAATCATTGGCGCGAGCAGGCCCGTGCCGCGACCGCGATGACGACCGGGGCGTTGGCTCCCTGACACCGCCTGGCTGGCTCAGGCCTGACCGGTCGCGGCTCTCCCGATTGCGCGGACCGTTCCAGGCTGCTGCTTCCCCTCCTGGCGGGGGGAGAAGAAGGTACAGTGGAAACCCATGCCAAGAAACATCCTGCTGGCCTCCAGGGTGCCCTGGGTTTCTTTGGTTTCGATGGTTTTGCTATGGAGAGCGTGGCGTTTCCCACACCAAAAACCGATGGAAGTCCTGTGGTCTCAGGGTTCGGTTTCTTGTGGAAGGCTTCTTGTGGTCGAGCTCCTACGGTTCTGATATAGCCACTCACTCGACCTCTCCCCAGGTGCCTTCGGACCAGGATCTCGCCGCACTCTCGAAGCCAGCGGTGGCGACGAGGGGAGGGCAGCAGTGTGGAAACGTGTGCCTCAATTGATGAATTCCTGATTCCACCCTTGGGCCAGCAATGGGATGCAGGAGCTTAGTGGGCCTTGGAGACGACACGGCCGTTTTTGTTACCGGTTCTGTTCTGACGTGTTGTTGCCAGTTCCGACTCCGCCTTTGTACCTGTTTCCGTCGCATTTGGTTTTACCTGTTCCTGCTCCGGTTCCAATCCTGGAGCCGTTTGTTTGCCGTGTCTGGTCGCCGTTGTTTTGCCGTGCCCATTTTCAAGAAACACTTCTTCTCCGGAAACCATGCAAAAACGGCCCTGCCGCTTCCAGGGCCTCAGTGTATAGGGGGTGCAACAAGCTACCGATACCAGGACTCCTGGACCTCTCCCGGGGTGCGTCCTGACCAGAAGGTCGAGGCGAATCCCGCCGCGCCGACGAGGGCCTGCCAGGAGCCTCACAAGTGCGAGACCGACGCGCAGTGGCAGCGGTGTTGGCATCTCCTCCTCCTCCTCCTCCTCCTCCTCCTCCTCCTCCTCTGACCCCTGGGCCAAAGCTACCCCTCGGGCCCGTCCCCAGACATCATGCGCTATGATCTGTGTAGTCCGCGTCCCCAAGGAGGTTCCGACTCCTTCCCCAGAGGTAATCTTAAGGAGCCGAACTCTATACACCGACGCCTTTTTCCAGCCCCGCATTGAAATTCGCACAAGAAAGTGGATCCTGGTGCATACGGGATCCTGGTGTATACATGTTCCATTGTTTCCCTGGGCGGACGGGGAAACAAGTATACACCACACCACCCCGACGTCGTCCCCGACCCTCAAAAAAGTCCTGGGATGGACAACCAGCCCGCAACTGGCAGTGTATAGGCTCCAGTTTCCGAAGTCTGGCGTCCCATGCGAATCCATGTCTGATGGTCCTCAGGCCCGGGAGCGGCCCCCCGGGAGCCGAATGTCTGTTGCCCCCCGAGGGGCCGTGACGAGCCCGCAGCCCTGCAGCCTCACCAGAAGCGCGGGCAGCGCGGACTGCTCGCGCGCCAGCTGCAGCAGCCGCTGAAGCAGAGCCTCCGGCGCCGCCGACGGCGTGGCGGAGTCCGCCCTGGCTGGTTGGGCATGTCGGGCCCGCCCTGATCCTCCATTTCCTCCTCCTCCTCCCACTTCCCCTCCTCCTCTTCTTATTCTCATTCATATTGGGCCAATCAATTATGATTATGATGCAGCTTTATCATTGTTAGCCGCATTGCTATCCGTATGGTTATCAATGTCATCGTCATTGTTATCCGTCGCATTCCTTTTTTAGTACGACTTGGTGCTCGTACTCTTATCCCGCAGTCCAATCATTCCTGTGCAAATCGAAAATGTGGTATACTTCTGACCATCATTGTTCGTTTCAGTATTCCGCTTCTTCCCAACACAGTGCTGGCACTTAGGGGCTTTCACTTGTCACGAAGGAGCTGGGTCTGCCTGTCGAATTGGCAACTATGTTGCCGCCGTCGCCGCCCCGTCACTGCCTCGTCGCCGCCCGTCGTTTGGGCCCGTCTGTCGGTCGCCGCTTTTGTTGCCGCCGTCGCCGCCCAGTCGCTGCCTCGTCGCCGCCCATCGCCGCCCGTCGGTCGGTCGCCGCGCTTGTTACCGCAGTCGCCGCCCCGTCGCTGCCTCGTCGCCGCCCGTCGTTTGGGCCCGTCTGTCGGTCGCCGCCCTTGTTGCCGCAGTCGCCGCCCCATATAGATTGCACAACATAGATGGCTCAATGTTTACCATGACTTCTATACGAATTCGGATATACCACCCACCACCCGGGGAATATCGCCCCCCTGGAGATCCGCAATGTACATATGTTTCTGCCCCATCGTTCATCCGAAGTACGAGCTCAAATCATCCAAGCCCAGCCAGTATCGGCACGCCTCCTTTGATCCTGCGCAAGAGAAATATGCGCGCACGTTCGTTCATCATAGATCACCAATTTCCAAGAACGCCTTGCAACAAATGGGACGAAGTGCATACGCGCGCGTCGTCGCGCGCGCATGCCAGACTCAATTCGAAAACCCAGATCGCGTAAGGAATGCAAAGTCGAATGTCCCGAAACCATGAAAAAAAAAAACATGGGTTGGCAACATGAGTTTTCAAAAAAGTCTGCGCGCGCTCTTGCAAATTAGATGATCCTTAAATGCAACCAAACGGGCCTCTCGCGCGCGCGCATGTCCAAATCATTCGAACGCCCTTGCGCGCGTGCTGGGGAGCACCATCCCTGTCAAAGAATACCATGCGGGCCACTAACGCGCGTCGGCCACGCGCGCATGCCGAAATCCTTCCAAAACCTCCATCACCAACGCGTGGACAGCATCCGTATGACATCCAAGACGATGGTTCCGGCGAGGGCGTTGTGATCCTTGGCGGATGTTTCGCCATCTTCACAGCGGTCCTCCTCCGTCTCCTGCATGGTGACAGGTCGTAACCATTATGAGTGCGTTTCTGTTCGTTCTTCCAGCTCCAGTATGGGTCGTCCTTTTTCCACTTGGCCAGTCCTGCGCCCACCGCTGGTTCTGTCTTGGGTCGGGCTGCTGGTTTGGGCGATGGCTGTGAACATGGTTGCCTCTTCGGTTTGGTGTTCTAATGCTGCTTCCGGCAGTCAGTACGGTTGCCACCTCGGTGGATTCGACTACACGTAGGAGTGACCCTAGGCTAGAGTGACCTTTGGTGCGCGGCTAGAGTGAACTTTGGCGCGCTCAAATGCGAGCGTTATCGCGCGATGTGGGTGCCGACGCGAGGTCAAGCTCATTCCACAAGAAAAATCACCCGACCCCCTTTGGGCCAGCACCAAAGGTCACTCCGGCAAGGGGTCACACTTACGTGTAGTCAATGGACGCCTGCAAACAGGGTGGGTGCTGTGCGCTGTGGCACGCTGTGGGGAGCGCCTGTGCGCTGGCCACAGGCCTCGCACGCCGGCACGCGCCCTCCGCAGCCGCCTCATTGTGCCAGGCGGCTCTGCGGGACGGGTGGGCCCCCGACGTATTCGGCACAAACCTCCCTTCAACAAGCCACCCTTTAGTGAAAACGGCCTAGCACCGAAACCGACGGACCTGGACCCGCAAAATTGACGGCCGCGCGACGCCCTCTCGCGAACCGAAAACGGCCAATTCGCTAATCGACGCGTCAGGGGAGGAGGTCTATCAACCTCCGATGTATGCCGTTGTGTGCGTGGGGCCTCGCAGGTCGGCGAGAGAAAAGGATCAGATGGTGGATGTCATGCGGCCGCCGCGGTCCTGCGGGCGAGCGCGCTGGCCACCACCACGCGCCGGAGGGCCTGTCCCTCGGGCGGGCTCGGGCGTTCGCGGCTTGAGCCAAAACAGTTTGGGTCAAAATGGCTACGGACCCTGCTCCCTCCTCCCCCTCCTCCTCCTCCTCCTCCTCCTCCTCCTCCTCCTCCTCCTCCTCCTCCTCCTCCCTCCTCCTTCTCCTCCGCCTCCTCCAAGACGCACGCGCCCAACCACGTGCATGAACACGGCCCCCCGATCCGCGAGAACAGCCTCGTGCCACGAAGGCTCGCGCGATGTGTACCTTCGAAGCCAACGTGGGTTCATGCATGTGTACGTTCAGGTCGGGCATGTCCTCCTACAGGCGGATTTGGCGGAAAAAATGAAAAATACCCCAAACATACTAAAACATTACTCAAAAACACTATTGAAAAAATTGCCCCCTGACTATTTCGGACTCTGTTTGAATATTCCTCCTGTAGATGGACAGGCCAGACTTAATCAACCTCAGTGGCCGAGATCGAGGACAAACGCCCGGATTGAACAGACCATGCCGTCGGAGATGCAAGCTTGGTGCGGCCCCTGAAAAGAGGCCCGCCCCCTCTGCCCTTCCCGCCTGGAAACGCGCCGCCGAGAGCTGGGCGCCCTCCGACGGACCCGTGCAACTCCGGAGATCCAACGCTGAAAAATCCGCCGACCCCAAGAAGCCTCGAGGAGGCCCCAAGAGGCCCCCAAGAAGCCCCCCAAGAGGCTCCAAGAGGCCCACCAGAGGCCCAAAAGTGGCCCCAAAAGGGACCCCAAAACGGCCCCCAAAAGGCCCCAAAAGTGCTGCCAGGAGGGCCCAGAGAGACCAGGAGCCCTCCGAGGGGTCGGTGGTGCGGCGTGAGCCCAAGAATCACAGCACCGTGAACAATCGCGACCGGAGCCTCGAACCCCCTCTCTCTGCGCCACCCTTCGAGCCCGATTGATCCAGGAGGGTCCCGGGGCCCAGAGCTGGACACAAAAAGAAACACCCGGCTCGAAAAAGCTGAGGCCCCAGGCTCTCAGGGGAAGGACAGGACGCCTTGGACCCCCTGGGCCGCCCTCCTTAGAGGTGGACCTTCATTTCATCCTCTTTCGGTTCGTCCTCTTTCGTTTCGACCTCTTTCGTTTCGCCATCTTTCCAACGCCGGACGGATCGAAACCGGACGAACCGAAGCGGGCGAATAGAATCGAAGCGGACGAAACGTAGCGAACGAAATGAAACGGGCGACATAAAATTCTGACGAAACGAAACGGAATCTCCCTTCCGGTGGTTGCTAGAAGTGCCCCTGGCCCAAGGTGCCTCCAGCTTTTAGCTCAGTTTGGGAGCCCCTGAGGCCCTCTGGGCCTCGTGAGGGGTGCTCTGGGGCCGTCGGGGCCTTCTTGGAAATCCTAGGGGGGCCTTCGGCCAGGGGCACTTCTAGGAGAGAGAGAGAGAGAGAGAGAGAGGAGGGGGAGGGGGAGGGAGGAGGGAGGAGGGAGGGGAAATAAAAGGAAGGAATGGAGGAGGGGGAGAAAGGATGAGGATGAGGAGGTGGAGGAAGAGGAGGGAGAGGAGGAGGAGGAGGAAGGAGGAGGACGACGAGACGAAGCGACGTGGGAGGAAGGGATGGAGAAAGAGGAGGAAAGAGCAGGGAGGAGGAAGGAGGAGGTAGAGGAGGAGGGAGGAGGGAAGGGATGAGCGGAAGAGGAGGAGGAGGAGGAGGAGGAGGAGGAGGGAGGAGGTAGGAGGAGGGAGGAAGAGGAGGAGGAGGAGGAGGAGGGAGAGGAGGCGGAGGCGGGAGGCAGAGGGGAGGAGGAAGAGAAGGATGAGGAGGGAGGAGGGAGGAGGGCGAGCGGAGAGGGGAAGTGAGGAGGAAGGAGGCCGGGAGGGAGAGGGAGGAGGAGGAGGGGAGGAGGAGGAGGGGAGGAAGAGAGGGAAGGAAGCAAGAGAAGGAGGACGAGGAGCGAGGACAAGGGAAGAAGGGAGGAAGGGTGGGAGGGGGAGGGAGGAAGAGGAGAAGGAGGTAGAATGAGGAGGAGTATGAGGACGACGACGACGACGAGAGGAGGGAGGGAGGGAGGGAGGAGGGAGGGGAGGGAGGGAGGGAGGGAGGAGGGAGGGAGGGAGGGGGGAGGAGGAAGGAGGAAGGAAGGGAGACCAGGGGGGACAGAAGGAGGAGGGAGGGCGACGGGGGGGAGGGAGGGAGGAGGAGAGAGAGGGAGGGAGGGAGGGAGAGGAAGGAGGAGAGGGAGACGGAGGGAGGAGGAGGAGAAGGAGGGAGAAGGAGGGAGGAGGGAGGAGGAAATGAGGAGGAGAGGAGGGAGAGGAGGGAGAGGAGGGAGAATAGAAGGACGGGAGAAGGAGGGAGGAAGGAGGAGAGGAAGAGGAGGGGAGGAGGGAGGAGGGGAGGAGGGAGGAGGGAGGAGGGAGGAGGGAGGAAGGAGGAGGGAGGAGGCGAGAAGGGAGGAGGGTGGGGAGGGAGGGGGAGGAGGGAGAGAGGAGGAGGAGGAGGAGGAGGAGGAGGAGGAGGAGAAGGAGGAGGAGGAGGAGGAGGAGGAGGAGGAGGAGGAGGAGGAGGGAGGAGGAGGAGGGCCTTTGCTTCTGCAGGGGCGGGCCTCCACGGCGCGGCCACGGCAGGGAGGAGCCGGAGCGCCTCCTGCACGGGAAAGCGCGCCCGACCAGCGGGCACGGCACAAACAAACGAGGGGCACGGCGCCCAGCAGCAGATTGCAACGGGGGGCATGCAAGACGAAGCCAGAAGGAGGATAAATTCGGACGAGGTTAAGTCGAGAACCTCTGGAGAGCGTTTTTTATTCGCGGCGATGGCGGGCGCTATGGGGGGGGACGGGGGAAGGGGGGGCGGGGGACGCATAATGTAACGCCACGCCCCGCGACCTGACAGACTGTGATGCCGGACGCTCTGGGACGCTCTGCGGTAGCGCTGGGAACGCGATGGGCGGGGAGGAGCGTTACGTCAGAGTGGAGGGGGGAGAGCGGGGGGGAGAGGGGGGGGGGGGGGCATAACGCGCGTCATGGCCCAGAGGGTAACATAGGGTAAAAAACGCGCTCCTGAGATCTGGCGGCTCTGGAGGATGTCTTGGGCGCCGCGGCCTTCCCATGTCGTTCCTGGGCGCTCTGAGAGCGTTCCCAAACGCTCTGGCACAGACTTACCCTCGTCCTAGCCCCGCCCGACATGTCGACCCCGGTCCCTCCAGGAACATCCCAGCCCCTCCTTCGGAAGCAACTCCTGCGAGGTCTTCGTCGGAACGATTCGTCGGAATCCCCCGATTCAGGCCGGATTAAACGGATTTAGCCAGATTATCACCAGATCAGCCGAGTTTTCGATCAGGGATATACCAGCACCGGTTCAGAATATAACCTCCCAGGAGTTGCATGTTTGCCCTCCTCTGGAGCACCCGCTGACACGGATCGGGGAGAGTACCCCCCCGAGTCACGAAGCCAGCGCGGCCCCATTTGTCGACGGAATTAACGCAGATATTGGCACGAATTGGACGAGGGCGAAGCCTTTTTGGAAATTTGGAGATCTGCACCTGCCCAACGTTGTCATATGACCTGTTCGTGGCCGCTCAGCGGCCGTCTCGGCGCAGGCAGCCAGCAGTCGCGTTCAGTGCGTCATGCTGGCCGGGGTCTCACGTCCCCGCGCTGCCAGTGCGCGGCTGTCTGGCCACTCAGGGGTCAGGACAGTCTGGGCCGCTCAGTGGCCGTTATCGGTGAGATTGCCAGCAGTCGCGTTCAGCTTTTCATTGCTGGTCTGGGGTGGCACGCCCCCGCGCAGCCATTGTGCGATCGACAGGCCATTCAGGGGCCAACAAACAAAAACTTGGGCCGCTCAGTGGCCGCATCTGGCGCAGGCAACCATCGGCGCATTAAGTGCGTTCGTTGGTCGGGGAGTCACGCCCCCGCGCTGCCAGTGGATCTACAGAACATGTTCGCCTGTCAGTGGCAGGACTGTTGTTGCGTTCCGCCCCCTCGTCCTCCTCCTGCTCCTCTTCATCCTCCTCCTCCTCCTCCTCCTCCTCCTCCTCCTGGGCCTCCTCCTCCTCCTCCTCCTCCTCCTCTTCCTCCTCCTCCTCCTCTTCCTCCTTCTCCCCCTCTTCCTGCAGCTCCTCCCTCCCCCCCCGCGCGAGCCTCCGCGCGCGTAACGCCGCGAGCGCAGGAGCGAGCCCTACGACGACGACGACGACGACGACGACGACGACGACGACGACGACGACGACGACGACGACGACGACGACGACTATGAACGAAGAGAATGGAGACCCCAATCCAATCCCCGACTTTCTGTAGGGTGTCGAGCCGGGCAACAAAGAATGCCCCAAACTGCAAGTCGGCCCATGAAGGGGGGGAGGGCGCATCCTCGGCAGAGGTGCGTCCAGCTAGAGACAACCAGGGGTGTATCCCCGAGTCCCACCAGCCCTCTGGGCGTCGGTGGTTTAGGGCGTTTCCTCTTCCACCCCTCCCTCTTCCCCTTCGGGGAGGGGTTTACCCCTCCCCCTACCCCCTCCCCACTGACCTGGACAGGAGGGGCGGGGAGCGGTCAGAGCGTCCAAAACGGCCTCGGCGAGGAAGCCAAAAGCATTGATTTTACTATGGTTTTGGCCCCATTTTGGCCTTCTGAGGGGGCAGCGCTAATTAGAGCTCCCCTCTTCTTTGATCGATTTCCTCCACGATGGCCGCAAGAGGCCCCCAGGATGCCCCAAGAGGCCGCAGGATGGCCCCAAGATGGCCCCAAGAGGCCCCCCAAGAGGCCCCCAGGAGGCCCCCAAAGAGACCCCCAAGAGGCCCCAAGAGACCCCCAGAGGCACCCAAGGGGCAAAGATGGACCAAAGAAGCGCCCAGGAGGCCCCAAAGGCCCCAAGATGGCCCCAAGAGGCCCCAAGAGGCCCCCAGGAGGCCCCAAAGAGGATCCCGAACGGCCCACAGAAGCCCCCCCGAGGCACCCAAGACGCCGAAAAGCCCCTCAGGACGACCCTCTACTCGCCTGGGCGTCGTTTCTGGACGGGCTGGTGGGGATACGCGAAGCGTCTAGAATTCCCTTTCTTTTCTGAGCGACCAGTTGTAGGTTCGGAGCTCGGGGATTGGTAGCGAAACAACAACTGCGACAAACGTTGACCAAGACCGACAGCGGCCTCTGGGTGGCACGAGGAGTTTTGGGTATCAAGTGGAAGACGTCCGCGGCAATGCACCGACAAGCGGGCCCTCTCCAGAGTGGGCAGGAAAGGCTGTCTGCTTTCATCCCCATCCTCTGGAGGCCTCACACAGAGGATCCGAGCAGATGGGGTGGAGGATCGCCCCGCAACGCTAATGCATCGCCGATGCATCGGCGATGCATCGGCGACGTCGGTGATGCATCGCCGCCGTCGGCATGAGAGAAGATCGTGCTCCGAACCAGGCCGCATCGCCGATGCAGCAGCGACGCGGCACGCTCCTCCGACCCACCTCCACTGGCCCCACCTGGGAGGCCAGGATTCTTTCCGCCCTCGTTTCGATCGGCGCGCTCCGCGCGCCAGGTGGGGGTGGACTCAGCGCCAATCCAAGAGATCCACGCGGACCCTCGAAAGTTTATGCTTATGTAGTTGTTCCTGATACGGGAGCACAGGAGCATCCCCAGTACCCAGAGGGGGGTTGGGGGGGCAGGTGGGGGCGGGGTATGCTTGATGCGTTTTTGCAAAACTCTCGCAGCCAGGGTTCGAGACTCTCTGGCCCAGTCCCAGAGGAGGGAGGGGTACCGGATGGGGGGAGGTGCGCGCTCTTCCCCCAATTGCAATCCGAATATTTTAGGTCGACGCAGCAGATCCGCGCGGGCCTCCGAAAGCGTATGTTTAGAAGTGTTGTCTTCTTCGATTCCCTTGGGGCCCGCCCGAGAGGCCCGAGAGACGAAGATGTACGTGTGCGAGGTGTTCCCCTCCTCCACATGCAAGGTCCTGATGTTTTGGGTACGCGGTCGGCGGGAGCGCCGACCCCTTCCAATGGGTCGGCTTATCGTCCCGCGTCGTCTGTGGACGGTCCCGAGGCCCAGCGAGGACCCCCAGCAGCCGAAAACGGCCAGAATAGTTCCGTCGTGATCGTCGTGCGACGCGAGCAAAAACTTCCAGAATCATTCCATCGTTCCCTGACATTATGTTGCTCCCATCGTACTCAAGGACCACATGCCAGAAATAATTTCGAGCAGAAAAGTATCGAAGCAATG